AATGACACTTCCTTTGGTCTGTTTTCCTATACTGTTAACTGCAACTATTGGCAACTAACATTAATAAACAACAGTTTGAAAAAATCCATATATCAGTTTCCAATTTCAGTTATAAAATTACATTAGGTTACTTTTAACTATTCCCTTCTTATATTCTCTTTTTTCCTAAATACCTATCATTATTTCCTTTATCACTTTCCCCACTCTTCTTGATCTATCAAGAGTTTTTTAAAGTAACAATGTGACAATATCAGTCACATAATTGTAACTAATGTCACATCCCCTGTGCCATGCATTTGCCACTAATCCATGTAAATTGTAAACAATATGGCAGAGAAATGTAAAGTATGCAATGACAAAAAGCTTAAATATTTCTATTACACTGGCACTGGAATACTTAGTGGCAAAGTTACAAAATCAAAGTAAACTACATTGGACAACTGTCACCAGTGCATGAGTTTATAGACAAAATAATAATAAAAAACATATGTATATAAAAAAACACAGAGAGAATGATAGGAGACAAAAGCAGACAAGCAAAACTCAAATTTTCTAACCTCAGACAGCATGACAATGGTTGTAACTTCTTGGTCAAACACCATTCTCCAGAAGTCTGCAATTGTGTTCTCCATTGGGTCTTGTGACTATAAATGACTCAGCCAGATCATAACCCTGTTTGATATAGAAATTATTAGAAAATCTTTGTTCACAACTATTGAAGTAATGTAACTAAAGACATAAAACAATCTCATTACAAATTCAAAATACAGCTCAAAGAACCCCATGTGTTCTTTTGTTCTCAACTAACCGTAACAAAGGAGGCATTGATGTAAGTAGATGATGGTTTGGTAGGCAGTGGTGCAAGGATAACACGATTGTTATCATATGGCAGCAAGAAGTCATACCTATTCTTGGGTTTATTCTCTTCACTTGTTGCAATAGCAAAAGCTTTTCTATCTTCTACTACCTTACCCAGCCGCTGTGAAAAAGAGAACATACTATAAGAACACACACACAAAAAAAATAATCAAACATATATGGTGTTAACAGAACAAATTAAAAGGTAACCCAACTCAGAATATATATCCCATCTCGCTTTCTCTCTCCATCTCTCAACACACTGAAGCAATCATAATTCTAAAGGATAGTAAATGAGAGATGAAGACGGACGACGACGGACGGACGGACAGACAGACAGACAGACAGACAGACAGACAGACAGACAGACAGACAGACAGACAGACAGACAGACAGAAGGAAAGAAAGAATAGCCCTTACCTCAAATTCCTTCTCAAGGGGCGACGAATCATCTAAACTGTCATGGTGTGTGTGGTTGCTGTAAACTTCTTTCAGCTGAGATATGGTAAGCTCAGTGTTTCCAAACTGGCTGTACTCCATTAGTGCACGGTGGATGAACACATACTGTTTCTGTTGAGATAACACATCCTGGCATCACAAATCTATTTCTCTCTAAACATATTGAATGATAACTTTGAGCAACTCTAGTATGATCATGACTTTTATTTTCTCTATATTATTCCCATGTGCTTTCTGTTAACAGAATTATGCAGAACTAATCTAAATTTATGAATACTGCACAAAAGAAATTGTACATGGGAAAAATCCCACAGTACCCTGTCTATCACACAACAGCTTTTACACTCTTTCAGAACTCACAAGGACTGTACGAGGAAGTTTCTCTGATGCCGCAAATCACAAATGAAGTTGAAGATTGAGGCCTGACCTTCTTCATCCAGCTCCATCACCAGAGAGTCTAAAGCCACTAAAGTTCCTGTTCGCCCTACTCCAGCACTGCATGGAGAACAAAAATGTTAAAAACATAAATATCTCTTGAAACATTTTCAAATCTAAATTGCTTTCCCCAATAGCTGAGGTATTTCATATGTACTAGATATATGAAATATAAGTAAAGTAATATAATAAAGGGGATCATTTCATCTAACTGATTTTATTGTTCACAAATTTCGCAAAAATGGATCATTAACGAAAGCTTTAAAAATAAAAATACTATAACAGTAATAACAAAGCAATAAGGAACTTTACCTGCAATGAACCAAGAGCCCTTGGTCATGTGAATAGGCCTCATTTATACGCCGCAGGAAGGAGAGTACTCCAGTAGGGTGTTCAGGAGCAATAAAGTCTTTCCAGAGCAGGTAGTACTGGAGAACCTCATGTGTTTGGGGGTCATCTGGCTCACCCCATTCAGCCCTCAGAGTCCGAACCATGTAATCTATTGCGAAGAGGTTAGAATCAGTGTCTAA